CAGCCGAGATACTTTGCGACAGAGGCATCAACTTCCGAGGCGGTGATCAAGAACTACAGGAGACCTTCACCGCGATGCATCCATCCCTACAGTCCCAACTAGCAGAGTACCAGATCACGTTCCGGTATAATCCCCCAAGTGCTCCCCATTTCGGCGGATCCTGGGAGCGGGAGATTCGATCCATTAAAGCTGCTTTAACCTCCACTCTGGGCTCTCAAGTTGTGAGTTCAGAAATACTCCAAACAGTGCTGATCGAGATAGAAGGAGTCCTCAACTCGAAGCCATTGGGATACGTCTCTTCTGACTTGGCAGATCCAGACCCCGTCACCCCAAACCTGTTGCTGATGGGGCGGCTGGATCCTGCCCTTCCCCAAGTGGTTTATCACGACTCAGAGCTGATTGGACGCCGACACTGGAGAACATGCCAAGTGTTAGCGGATCGTTTTTGGACACAGTTTCTACGCCACTACTTGCCGACCCTGCAGACCAGGTCCAAGTGGCAGAAGGACACATTGCCCATTCAGATCGGCGCGGTAGTGATGATCGTGGACCCCCAACTTCCCAGAGCATCTTGGCCCGTTGGACATATCAGCAAAGTTTTTCCAGGGGCTGACGGTTTAATCCGTTCAGCTGAAGTCAAAGTGCGTGATCGGACATATGTGAGACCTGTGAGTCGTCTCATTCGGCTCCCCGCGGTGCCGGACCAAGATGGACAATGACTCTACTCCCTTCAAACTTGTTGCCACAAGTTTGGGGGCGGCTGTGTTATGAAGGCAGGGCTTAAATAGAGCGTTTTGTATATAGTTGTAGTACCCGATCTGGCCACCAGGGGCGCGCCCGCTAGTGAGCAGTGAAAAGTTTTGGGCTGTTTTAGTGACGTTCTGTGTGCTCGAGAGATAATGGCAGATTACAGTGCTGTGTGTAAAAGCTTGTGTGCGTCCATTAGAGAGGTGGGTGATTGTCAATAGTGTTTAATATGTGTTATGGGTTTGGAAATGGGTTAGAATTGTAGTTTAAGTGTTTAGTGCAAGTTCATGGGGATTGAGGCTAGTTTAGCTCCTGGGCTAGGTGGCTAGGCTAGTCCTCTGAGTGTATGTTTACTCATTACTTTATTATTTAAATACACTTGGTAGTGAATGGTTTGTCTGTTAGTGCGAGTTAGAGCCAGGAGTATCTGAGCTGTGTTCATTTGTGTGTAATTCAATTTATTGTTAAGATACAGTTAAAGCTAAGGCATTACAATGCATATGGCCAGAGAGAGGCTCATTCACACTGAGAGAAAATGTTCAGTAGTCATGTTATTAGCACTGGGTTATTATGTTATTAGGTTAGGAAGACATTAGTTTGATGTGTATAACTATGTTTAGTGTTATTATTAGATTATGCTAATTGTAGTGATGCACATTATTACTGTGTAGTAACTGTTATATTATTCTAATATTTTGTTTCTATCTGTTTGTGTTACAGAACCACACACACAAACACACACACCACATACACACCGTTCTGTACAACTCAGAATAAAGAGAATAACCATCAACAAGGCTGATCATTTGCATCCTGACCGATGTCCACTCCGCGACAACAATAAGACAATAACCAGCTAATTATTACCAGCTTCACTACACTCACCTGACTAAAGATGTTTAATGCCTTGGAGTCAAGCATAGATGAACAGGGCTCCGATATCATCACCCAGCCACAAGCCGGGTAATTCCAAGCATCGCCACTCCATAAATGGCCTCATGTTACACACTATTTATATCTAACCGCGTGGAACTACATAAACACCCTTTGCCCTAGGTGTTTTTGTGGCCAATTTCTCCTCTTCCTCTTTATCTTTGGAGCACTAAATTTGCCTTCTCAAGCCATCCACATCCAGATAAGAACAGTCTGTGGGAATTTATCAGTCACTGCAGACATTGAACCAAAAGAGCTCTATTTAAACAGCCACTCGTCCGGATAGATACCACATCTGTTTTCACTGGCTTTGTAAATATTATGAATACGACATACAGACCTGCATAAAAGAAGGTGGGAACAGGGTAAATTTAAAACATAGAGAATTATTTCTTGTATGAGAATTTTGATTTATGCAGTTGGAATTGAAATTGAGATCGTATTTCATTATTGAGCTGGTTTTGTGAAATATGTATGCTGTTACAAAGCAAGGTCATGCAGCTCAAAATCAATGTTATAGTTGGCTGTCTTAGCTGAATTTTTAAACTACTTCTGTTTGATGCTATATTATGCATGAGCTACTGAGATTGTGGATCAATAAAGTTTGTCAAAGTCAAAAAGGAAACTATCAGAACTTTCATGAACTTTCAGAACTATCATGTGACCAAGTTCTAGTACTTCAGAGTGTAAGTATGGATACTAATATAAACATCTCTGTAGGGCTGGGCGATTAATCGATTTTAATCATTAATTCGAGTTTTACGTTTAGGGCGATTTCTTTTTTTAAAAATTCGATTTTTATTTTCTCCAGCGCAGAACTACAGCACTAACGCGCTAACCGCGGGTCTATGGTGTTGAGCAGTCATTTTGAAGCTAACCTAATGCTAACAGTCTCCCTCTGGCCTGATGCTCGCTCTCACAGTTGGTGCTGTTGCAATAGCACTTCAAACGTTCAAGAATCAGACTTTATTTAAATCGCCAGAACACACACACACAGGCTCCGGTCGTACGCCACATCTTTCACGCTCTCTCACGCTCGTTATTCCAAAGCGCACTCCCGTGTCCGTGGCGCGCACACACTCGTGTCCCACTGAGCCGCTGCACTTTGGGGAAAGACACGTCTCACACATTGCTCTCATTGCTCTGATACAAACAACGTGTTCCCCGCTGTCTGTTAGCTACAGTAGCTGTTAGCTACAGTAGCTGCTAGCTACAGTAGCTGCTAGCTACAGCATCAGAATGTAAACAGGAAGCTCGCACAATGCGGGAGTCACTGAAGTTAGTATTAGCGCCACCAGCTGGACCGAGGGTTGTACTACAGCACAGTTACTCAGGCACAGTTGAAAGAACAAGCATGAAAACCCGAGGAGGCTTTTGGAAAATACTGTCTGTTACAACATTTCTATTTTGAGTAATCAGTTTTAAAAATGTGATATTTCATGTAAATAATGCATGTGTTTAATAGGATTGATATATTTGCGATGGGCCTTGTTTGTGTGATTTAAGTTATTTTGAAGGTGCATAGTGTCATTGTAAGTGAAGTTATTATAAAACTGTTAAGCTACATTTTCACTGTTTACAATGGCAGAGCCATCTCGTTTACAAGCATGTTTTAAGGCTTAATTCCTGTTACACTTATGCTCCATGGGGATTTAGATTAAACTGCATAAAGGAAAATCTATTTCTTTGTCAGTTGTAGTTTGTTTTTAAATAGAAAAAAATAAATCGATTAAAATCGAAAATCGGATTTGGTGTGAAAAAATCGGAGATTTTTTTTTTTTGCCATATCGCCCAGCCCTACATCTCTGGTAAAAGTAAGATGATAGAAATCAGGTCCTTGCATGTAAACATTGAAAAGCACAAGCTTTTGTATGTACTGATTTTAAAGGGAGAGTATGTAATATGCATTCTCATTGGTCTAATTTGTATCCGCCTTTTGTTGCCAGAATCTTCCTGCCTTTGACTCACGTAGCTCCTGAGCATGAATTACTGATGGAATCCACCTGCTGTGGTTTAGCTCGAAACAGTAAAAACACTAATCTTTGTACCTGTTTTCATTCGAAATGAGAGATTCTTTTTGCTCCCTGATGATCAGCTTAAAAATAATAAACATAAATTATATGAAAATCATGCCCATTGTATTTAAATTAAGAATATCTCTTCTTTAAACCTTTGATTAAAAAAAATAGTCAAATTAGATGATAACAGTAGTAAGTCAAATCGAATCTGACACCTCAATCACTAAATTAGCTTGTCGATAAGCACACAGAGACCAAGTCTTGAAATTCTGCTTTGAAGTCTGCTCCTTGAACAAATGCTGTAGGACTTAGAGCAGAGAGTCTGCCTAGAAACAGGTGCCTCACTACCTGCAGCTCCACACTTTTGGCTGGCAGATTATTGTACCCAGAGGGAAATTAACTCACGAGAATTGTGTGTTTTTACGTGAGTGTGTCAACAATTAATTATGCACTCCCTGGTGATAATATTGTCATGGGCTGATGGCAAATTGCATTGTACTGCCTTCACAAAAGAATCCTGTGGAGTCAATGTATAACACTCTGATTACGTCTGTTATATATATTTCAGCACTCGCTGTGAAGAAAGGTACATGAAATAAATCAAACAACACCGGCATCTGATTAAATGTGCTACTTTTGAATCAGCCAATTATTTCCCACAAGGAAACCATGTGACCACGTCAGTCAAATCAGACATGTGCCACTTCCACATCAGTAGCCAATGCATATAACTTCATCATTTAAGTAACATTAGGACAATGTGAGATGAGCGTGTTCTTAAAAGCGGGAGTACCTAAGTTTTATAAACCTTTGTGCCAATAGACAGTTGTAAACAAATTAAACTGTCAGTCACTTTTGACTCTGGGTGGGAGCTGGTTTGGTGAGAGAGGGGGTCCTTTCTTATTTGCACGTGAAACGCCCAGACTTCCCTATCCACACACACCTCTTCTAGCTCATCCGGGGGAATCCCAAGGCATTCACAAGCCAGCTGAGAGACAGAGTCCTTCCAACGTGTCCCAGATCTTCCCCGGGGTCTCTTCCTGGTGGGACATGCCCAGAGCAGGTAAACTAATAACATGCAATTTATTTTAAAAAAATTGTGGTTTGGAAGTAAGCTTAAATATGCAGTGTTTATGTAATAAGTAATTAGTTACACTTTGAAACAAGGTAAAATATAATTTATAGCCTAAATATTTCCCAACAACAAAACAAAAACATCTCGAATACAGTAAGTGTGTGTGTTGTGTGGGGGACAGTTCTGCCAAGTGCAATGACCTGATGGCGACCGAAAGGCCATTAGCATCAGGAGAATACATTCCGGGACTGTCCAACCAACGCAAACAGTCGGCGTCCCGTAACGAGGCGTGACCAGACCGTTTCCACGGTGACACCCACCAAGCCCACACCAAGCGCTTCCTGTCTGAGTGTCACACATGTGAGTGGAGATGATTTGATGGCATAGAGGTTATTGAGGAACACAACCAAGCCTCTTGGTCATGCAAATGTCATTCAAAAAGTTACGTTGCCATTTATAAACAATACAATCAAGGAAAGAAGTACATGCAGTTATGAACCGAAAGTCAGTGAACGAGGTTCTGTGTCTTTAGATTTCTACAGTTACTTAGAACAACTGATTTACAACTGATCTTTAAAGAAAAGCATATTTTGTATAATAAATACATACATATCTGTATTGAAGGAAAAAGCTTTGTAGTGAGCATGAATACTGATGATCATAGAGCATGATTAACTTTTCATGAATTCATAGTTTGCACTTATTGGAATTATTGGTTCCCATAATATTTTAGGAATTATCAAGAATTGTGCATTTGTCCGATAAAATTATTTGTGGATTAAAACACTCAATCAATGAATTACTTCCAAAAGTTCTACAGGCCTAACAATAGCATTATTTTCAAATGTTTGGCAGCATTTGCACATTCTTGGTCATTTTTCAAAAAAAAGAATGATAAGAGATTTCTTTCCGTTCATGGTTAGTGGTTGGGTGATTGCAAACTGTTTATATGGTTCTTTGGAAAAATAGCTTAATCAAACCACCGCCATCTTTCAAATTCTCTAATAATTGGCTATGAAGGATTGCATTATGTAAGGATACATTGGTATTGTTGTTTGATTCATAAACATAGTGAAAGTTGCCTTAAGATGTTGTTTGGTACTTTTGGAAATGATCCAATATCACCACATATATAATGTGAAAAGAAATGGGAGTTTTATTCAATTTTATTTATGATGTACTCTGATGATTTTGTGTTGTTAATAAAGGCTACAGAAAAAAAACACACAGTTTCAGCTATTGGTGTGCTATGCATATGAGTTTGTTCACACTAAAGGGTACAAATGTGTCAAAAGGCAAAAAATTTGGTTTTAATAATCAGAAGATATTTTATGTTTTTCATGTATCCAAATACCTCCTCTGTCCATTAGAATTTGCTAGAACAAAACTGTTTTATACATTAGTCAAGTTTCCTATAGCGTGATTATTTTATGTAACGGACGTGATGATTTGACGGATGAGCTTTGCGGAAGTTTGTAACATATTTTCAGATGTCCACATTTGATACGGAGATTCTTTTTTTTTTTTTTTACAGTAGAAACAAAGTGATACGTTCATAAAGACAACCAATTAAATGTAAAACCAGACCTTTTTTTTCCTCTAAAGTTACATTTTTAGAGAAAAATTGACGGAAACCATCACGTCCGTAACACATTTTTGAAGGGTAATTTAAATTTGTATTGATTTTTTTTTTTTTATGATTTCTTTTTAAAACAAGTGATTTACTTATGTTGTTTAATGTCAATCTTTTGGGAGTTCATTTGCCGCTTTTTCAGACTGAGGAAATGTCAATTTCTATGTGACTGGCGTCACAGTAGAATTATCAAATCAGAGGCTGATTTGGTCGTTTAAAATGTCGCCAAAAATGTATTTGTCGATCTTTCCTTTTGATTTTGTCCACACTATCTCTTTGATATGCCTGTGTTTGAAATCTTTTCTCCAATCTATGATAGTAATTTTAGTTTTTGAGTTATAACCTTTATCCTGTCCAGATATTTGAGTTGACACTTTCCTGTGAACACACTCATGTACGTGTCTGGTGCTCACTTTTGCACATGTATTCCAATGTAGTTTTACGGTAAATGGCAAATAAACTGAATCTGACCTGAAAGATGTGCCACGGCTCAAACCGTTTCAGGAACACCGATATGCTGAACCCAAACTAACCCTTTCCTTCAAGAGTGTGAACCAGCTCAGGTGAATTCACTGCTACCTTCCTCCCTCCTCATGTTCAGCGGACTTCCCCTGAGCACAGCACAGGGCCTGAAGGAACAGCTCAGGTGCAGAGGGCAGGTACCTCTTCATGGCTTTGCTTTGGTGTAAATGTCCAAGAAGAGCGCTGTTTCCCAGGTCGCTCTTGGCCTGGCTGCACTGGGCTCTTGGCAGTGGTCCACGCTGCACAAAGGGCCCGGGCATTCCAGCTGTCTGCCTCTAATCCACTGTGTCAGCTCGCGTTAATGTTGCGCCGTGAAATCTGAGGGCGCAAAGCGGTATAGAAGATCTACAAGGAAAAAAACTGCACCAGCTAAGAATGCCTGTGGAAACGGCCACCACACAGGGAGCTGGTCTGGAGCTGTTGGAGTTAATGGCTGGGGTCAAGGAGATGTATAGACTGTGAAGGCTGCAGGGCAGTGGTGTGCGGATGTAAAAATACAAATACGGAACAGGTAGTATGTTGTGGTACAGCTCAGTAGAATACAGGATTTAATCTGTCAAGGATTAGGTTGCAAATTAAAAGTTTAAATTATTTGTATTGATATGATCCATAATTTCCAGTTCGCAAGAGGAAAAAAAAGAAAGTCAAAGAGTTGTGACATATTGAATATTGTGAAATATATGAATGTATCTTCAACTGCTCAAATATTGTCGCCCCACAGTAACAGAGGGCTTTATTTTTTTTTGTCAGATACAGCTGAATATGTGGTCACAGATGTCCTTGTGGAAGCAGTTAACCAGTTGAGATGAGCGTAATATTGAGAAAATAAATCTAGAGGATGTAATCTAAATAAAAAGCGAGGAGAAAAGAGGAAGGGGGGGCTAAAGTGAGACTAAATCAGCATTTCCGCTGGCGCTCCGGACCCCCGCGGTCTGCTCTGACACACAATAGAGGAATGACACGCTTCTGTGGATGCTTAATTATCTTCGACACACACAGCCCCTCTTTACGCACTCAGTAGCATCGCCAGTGCACGACTACATGCCCACAGACACCACCACAGCGCACGCACATCCGCCTATAGCCACAGCGCACACATCCAACAGACTTTCAACAAAACTAATTGTTGCCATTGAGTCCAAGTGGAACCATCCATTTTCCACATACTGTAACTCAGGCTATTGTCTGATTCATCATCCAGCAGCAGGACAAAGGCCACACTTGTGAGAAGCTCTGCAGCAATGCCACCTACCACACGAGGTGCCCCCCAGGACGCCCCAGCCTTCTCCTGTGTGACACTGCCACTGCTCCAGTGATGCACACACTGTATGTGCGGTGGCACTTCAGCTCTGGAGGGCGCCCTCTGCTGTTCTTTTTCTTTCATAAAAAGATCCAAGCATTAATATTGCAAAACAACTGAGTTTAAAAAAAAAAAAAACACAAAAGGGAAAGTAATTGCATAAAAAAATAGAAATTGTGTAAATGTCTTGTTTTCAATGATGAATGATCGATTTTGGAGAAAAGTCTTCTAGAATGTCCACTGGCATTTTATCTGAGATGCCACAAAATATTGTGTCCCTTAAGAACTAATTTATGAATTGGAAGATTAATGGTGAGATTCATTGAATGTCGAAATAATTATTGCTAAAACACTATAATTTAATATATCAGCGCAATGTTTGCTGGCGGAGGGTCACTTGTCTCATGATCATGCATGACTTGTCACAATAAAACATTGACTGATGGTGTAATATTTCATTTACTTAATTTCAAGGGGCCAAAAGAGAAATCTAGTCAGTTGTCCCAAGAAAGGTAAAGCAGATGTCAGCAGATATTGATTATTATATTGATAACTCACAACATGGAATCAAAGTCAAACACTTTGGAATAAATCCACTTAAATGGACAAACCCATAAATATATAATCATTAAAATTGTATTATTGTCTAGATACATGCTGTTGTGTTTGCAAAGCCTTAGAGGGATGTGTCCAGGGCATGCAGGTGTCTCTGGGATACTAGATGATTCATTTACAGCTCTGACCGACTGCCCAACTGCTGCTCTGCTGCTGCTGCTTTCTGATGACTCTTCACATCTGAGCTGACAGCACTGAATCTGTATTCTACTGGAGCCAAAGGGTGAGGCTCTCATTATCATATCAGTGTCATCTTTCCCAAGTTCCCTTCAAAAGCAAAATCACAGACTGCATGCATGGTTTGTGCTAAAACATGCACTTATCCAGTTGGTATACCTTTCACTACAGAAAGCAACACCTTTAACTAAACGTGTTCTGCAGGTTGAGGCAGGCCATGACGCTAAGTACCGTCACACAAATCTAAAATGAAACCGTGTCCTCAATTTGTGTCAGGGCACACACATTTTTAAACTCAACTTCACCTCAGCTGCCGCAGGTCCCAAGTGTAATGATGACCTGAACAATAGTCTGCTGAAGGAGGATATGGAGCAAAATCAAAAGACTATTTGGGTGAAACTTTACACCAAATATCCACTGAAAACTTTTAATTAAAAAGTTCTTAACTTTTCAATATCCCAAAATAATGCATGGCCACTTTGTGGAAGGAAGGCTGATTGTAAAGGCTAGCACCAAATCAGAAGAAAACCAAAGCAAAGAAAACATAGCTAAACAGGGCCAGTGAATAGGCATGGGTGTTTTACTTCAACCATACAACTCTTTAAAGCCCTTCACTAATGGATTCTATTGTCGATGATGCCATGTTTGTCACTATTTTAAGTTATATTTCTGTGTACATGTCTCTAGACTATTGCCGAGGTTAACACACTTTAAATAATTGTGTTTCAAAATAATCTAAAGAAAGCACAAGGCTGTTTAATCTTATCCAATTTTTCATCCACCTATAGGTACGTTTTTCACCAGCATTTGACCCAGATCGGTTATTGGATAGATGGCACTCGAGAGCAGTGAAATGTTTTGAGTATATGTTGAATTAATATGTTTTGTGTCAGGTTCAGTAAAGATAGATATAGAGGAAAAAACTGTCCTTGCAAAGGTATGAAGGAATAGTTGTCCAGCATATCACATTGCAACCCAAAAACCATTTGATTTTAGTTGAAAAGTAATTTATTTCCCCTTTTAGCAATTCTATTTTCCAGAAATAACAAGCCAGTGCCCTGGACTTTCCCAAGGCATCAAAAAATAAGCTCAACATTTTAGCGCATTTTTCCCTTCCTTTCCATTTTGCCTTTTGCTTTGGTATTTTGAAGTGCGTCTTGACTCGGGTTGCATTTCTCAAGTTCATTCCAATCTCAGTCTCTTTGTGTCCGAGAAGGTTGAAAGCCCGGTCTAATACAGGAGTCGGCTCTCAGCCTGCGCCGCTATCTCGCCCCCTCATCTCCAATCCAGACCCAACCACAACCACTGCAAGACAACCTAACCTGCCTGGGACCTGAGCACAGAACTGAACAGTGCAGACAGTGAGAGAGAGAGAGAGAGAGAGAGAAGGGAGAGTAGAGACAGAGACAGACAGAGAGGGGGAGAGAGGAAGAAAGAGGGGGAGAGAGGAAGAGAGAGAGGGAGAGAGGAAGAGAGCGAGAGGGAGAGAGGAAGAGAAAGGGCGGGAAACAGCAGATAAAAGGTTAGAGAGTGATTATCAAACGATAAAACAAATAAATATTCATTGGTCCATAAAACCGGTTCTAAAAGTCCAAACCACAACCTTTTCTGTCTTGAGTATTCCTTAAATTTAGTGTCCTTAAATTTTTGAAATAAAGCAGTCAATCAAATTGTTTTCATACCAACAATTCTTCATTCTTGCTAAAAATGTAAATGTACTGAGATGCAATTGTTTTGATCAAACTACTATTGCATGTCCTCAATTACTTCCAAGTACATTGTGGTGAGTACTTCCGCATTGGGGTTTGACCCTCAGTTTGGGAAACCCTGGTTTGAAGTGACATGAAATGAGACAAACACAAAAGTTGACAATATAAAAAGAAAGAGAAGGAAGAAACAGAGGAGCAAAGGAGGTAACAGACAAAAACAGAGAGCGAAAGAACGGGGGAGAAAAAGGGGGAGTTAAGACAAAGGCGGGAGTGGGGAGAAACGGAACACAGTGTCTGTTGTGTGCATAAGGCAGGACTTGGCATAAACAGCATCGGGCCTGTAAGAGTATCCTGCGCTGCTCTCTGCTCCATGCCTCGCTCCTCAATACTGCCTTTGTCCTGCCTGTGTGCCCGGTGACACCTGGCCCCGGCAACGCTCTGTCTCCTCCGCTTAAACACGGGACAACCAGGACGGGACAGGACAATGTAGGACACAGATAGGACAGGATAGCAGCATGATAAGAATACTAAAGCAAACGGCAGCTAAACGACCGGGTGGAAAGGTAGCCTCTGCTCATGCATATGTCACACGGCACAAGCATGACAAATATATAATGGGCTCTGCTGGACTGGTAGATTTAAAGGGCCGGAATGGCATTTTTTTGTAAAAATTTTTATACATCTACAACTTTTACATGTGTCCCCAGATCATAGTTGTCATTCAAATCATATGTGACCTGTTCTGAAAAACAGTTTAAAGTGGAGTTATTTCTAAAAGTACAATGGACAAGATAATATATTTTCATTGGATTGCCAGTTTGTTAAGTGAAATGTAGCTTTTTTTTGCTTTCTTTTTTGAATAACAAAAAATAGCATGAAATGAAAGTAAATACAAAACAAGGTAGTCATATGTAATGCAAAGAGTTGGTACCATTTCTAGCTAAACTCCAGCAGGTGATGGCTTCAGTAATCAGTGCTCAGTAACTACAGGTGTCGCAGGCATTAAGATTCACAAAAGTTGAATTGCAATAGTAATGACATGATTAGACCTAAGAGTACATGTTACATACTGTCCCTTTAATTAAGATAAAGATGTTACTGTCTGCACTAATCTTATAGAGTTTGAAAAAAAAAAACTAAAAAACGGCTGAAGATTTAGCATAGTAGCAAGATCAAACTGCATTCAACCATTCTCACATTTTGTGTCAAGTACATATTAATATTAAAAGCATTTACCACAGCCCTTTTTAGTCGACTAATTTATCAAGAGGGCATTCTTTTCTTTGACTTCCTTTCTTTTCTAAAGCTCTATAAGAATAGTAACCAGATAGCCAACATGACTTTATGAGAGCAAATGATGATGTTGGTCAGGTAGTAATAAGTATGACATGATTATTTTGGATGTTTTTTGTTATAAATCACAACATTGAACAGTGTGGTGATAGAAACTGGTCCTTTA